ATGACACAATTCTTCTATTACAATGCCTTTGTGATCAGGTGAAACACTTTGAGAATTAGAGTAAAAATTACACTGTTGTTTTTTTATATCTTAGCTTTACAAATTGCTAATATCTTTGAATTTTGTAACAGTGGTCTCTGGAGAGTTTTATCTCCTGTGGAAATATTTATTGTCGGATACGGAGTAAGAGATTATTCATATATGTTTTTTTAGCAAAGCAAAATACTTTTACAAGACAATTTAGTATAGTCTGAAGAGGCTATAACTTTGGAGAACCAGAATGTTTAATACAATACTGATCTGTATATTTGTACTTGTACAGGTGCTAAACTTCATGTGGCTCAAGTTCCTTCTTTTATGGAGATATTTCCGCTTCTGGTCTTTGGTACTCCTCTAAAGAAAGGCACACCCAGTCTAAATATCATTTTATTATTCTAAGATCGTTGTTGGGAACAATAGCTCTGTAGTCGCAGGGTAGTTAAACTTCATGCATACGTTTTGCTCTATGAATTTTCAATAGCCAAATCGTCACTATATGCTAGAAATTCCGGACATCACATGATACAAAATTAGCATACAGATGTCTCAAAATGAACTCAAAAACATAAACGAGGATTGCAAAGATTCTGATATGTAACAACGTAAACCATTTTCTTTTAGGTGAATGGCATTGAAACTGTTGAGAACATGCCGAATTGCATCAATAATTGCTATAGCCTGGAAACATTTTGGAAAACCTGGCATGCCTCGTTTAATAGGTGGCTAATCAGGTGAGACTAGTTAGCTCTACTCTCCTGGTTTCAACTTAAAGCATCGCTACATCATTTTCTGTCAATGTCAGCTCGTGAAGAGTACATTAACAACTTCCATTTTAGGTATATGTATATTCCTCTAGGTGGATCACGAAGAAAGTTTTTGAATGTGTGGGTTGTATTCACATTTGTTGCCGTGTGGCATGATTTAGAATGGTAATTATCTGTGGCCTTCCTATGGTTCCTTTGGGTTGAATGAACTATTCTACCTAACTTCTCATGTGGTTAATTGTTTCTTTTGCAACCAGGAAACTTCTTTCATGGGCATGGTTAACATGTTTATTCTTCATGCCAGAAATGTTACTGAAATCAGCATCCAATGCATTTAAGGTCAATAAACAATGAATGCTTTATATACTCTCTAGGGAGCCTATTATTATATGTCCAACTCCGTAACTTTCTTTTGAAGCTTCAGTTATTTTCCATGGAAAGTGTAGCTAAACTCTTAAGCACTGTTGCAGGTTCAGAGTGCTTTTGGAGAATTCCTCCGTCGTGAACTCAAGGCGTTGTCTGGCGCTGTGACAATCACATGCCTCATGGTAAATATCATTTTGCCGAATATACTTAGTCCCTTTGGTGTAGTTTGGCTCTACATTGATTCTGACAGATAAGATTTGAGTTTCTCAATTTGCAGATGGCAAATCTTGCTGGCTATGTCATTGGACCATCAGGTCTAAGCTTGTTTGTCTCCAGCTTTCTTAGTAGAGAAGGTATGAATGAAGCCCAGCGGTTATCAGTTCTCTTTTAACATTCTTTGCGTTAATGTTCATTCATTTCATATCATAGGATTACCTATTCTAGGAGGCGTGTTCTTTAGCTTTTACGTGGGTACAAAGGTAACTAATGATTGTTTCTTCGTTTCATAGAGCTTGATTTTTTAGTTTGAAAGGTTGCCAAGTGCCAACGTTACTTTTGTTTCTTTTTGCAGCTTATGTTTCACATCCAGGACTTGAGAAGTGGGGGTACATAGCCCTAGATAGCCGAATCAAAGAGTTGTAGTTTTCATTTATTGATTGTTAGGTATAATTTCGTGACAGTTTTTGGTTGGGAGTACGAAACTGTATTTTTCCTTGCTGAAAGATACAAAACAAAATCAACTTTTACAAACGGCTTTACTTTTCTTTTTCCTGTCATGCCCTTGAACTCCACATTCATCAATCACAATTCACAAGTAATCATCAAGACTTGCCATATAGGGTGTACATAGATAGAGTTCAGTGCAGCTGAAACTCGTCTCCAAGACACCCACATGATGATAAAACAAAAATTGAAGGTGAGAGAGGTGGTGAAGAAACAGAGCGTTGATATTGATTAGATTACCGATTTCCAATAGAGAAGCGGATTAAGACCATTGAGGAAGACCATTTGTCCCTACCCAATCAAACAAGAACAGGTTCAGACAAGACAGTGGAGGATTGATTAAGACACACTTCTGCTTTTTGATTATGTGGCTCTAAACAGAATTCTCTGTTTAGACGTAAGGGAATTGCATCAAGTGGCGTGGTAATGACAATGTTAAACATAGAATATGATTGTCACAGGATGGTAGACGAGTAATTTTCACAAGTTACGAAATCATATACTCGAGAAAAAATGATTTTTTAGAGTATTCACTATTCACGCATATTACAAATATAAGTTGAATTCTATACATTTTTTCAATAACTATCAAGTATCAACCAGTTACCAATGATCGCTTGGAGAAACATTTAAAAAATTGTAATCTCAATTTTGTAATAATTAAAAAAGACCCAATGCGTAAGTGTCACTCAATTAATTAGTCAATTACATTCAATTGAAAAATAATTAGGTACACATTCGATTTTTATATGTCGCTAGATATATTCGTTGGTCAAATTATATGATATGATGATATGATATGATATTTATGATATAAACATTTATGATTGTTCCCTTAGATATAATTACTATTTTATTTTCTTTCCATACGGAATTACCATTAATGACTAATATATATATATATGACACTTAATGATTCTAATAATAAATATTTGATAACAATTTATATATCCTCCATCATTTTTCTTTAATTTTATATTATTAAAATAAATTAAACAATCAAATTAGCTATAAAATTAAACTTTAGATTTTTTCGTATAGGTTATATTTTGAATTTAAAAAAACGAGAATAAATAACTAAACTATTAAAATTATTATGTTAAAAATTAATGATCAATAGTTTAACATTTTTATTATAAAA